AGTGGCTTATGCCTATAATCCCAGCACTTTGGGAGGTCAAGGTGGGCGGATCACTTGAGGTCAAGAGTTCGAGACCAGCCTGGCCAACATGGTGAGATCCTGTCTCTACTAAAAATACAAAATCAAATAGCTGGGAATGGTGGTGCACACCTGTGATCCCAAGTACTATGGAGGCTGAGGCATGAGAATCACTTGAACCTGGGAGATGCAGGTTGCAGTAAGCAGAGATAGTGCCACTCCACTCCAGCCTGGGTGACAGAGTGAGACTCTGTCTCAAAAAAAATAATAATAATAATAATAATTGTAGGTGCCGTTTATTGGTATCCTTACTATAAATTAGGTTCTGGATTATTAAAAATTCTCGGCTGGGCGCAGTAGCTCACGCCTATAATCCCAGCATTTTGGGAGGCCGAGGCAGGTAGATCACCTGAGGTCGGGAGTTTGAGACCAGCCTGATCAACATGGAGAAACCCCGTCTCTACTAAAAATACAAAATTAGTTGGGCATGGTGGTGCACGCCTGCAATCCCAGCTACTTAGGAGGCTGAGGCAGAAGAATTGTTTGAACCCGGGAGGCAGAGGATGCGGTGAGCCAAGATCATGCAACTGCACTCCAGCCTGGGCAACAAGAGCAAAACTCCATCTCACACACACACACACACACACAAAAAAAAAATTCTCTCTCTCTCAGTTGCAACACATATATGTGCACAGATGTACACACATATGCACAAGCATATAGGATACTTTGCTGGACGTAGGCCGATGATCAGCAGCCCAGCACCAAGATAAACAATAGTGTGAAAAAATATCCTAGGTCTCTGTTAATAATTGAAGCTAGTGCTACCATAATTTTACACCAAAAATGCCCTATCAAGAAAAAGAAAAGTCTGGGTACAGTGGCTCATGCCTGTAATTCCAGGACTTTGGGAGAGGCCAAGCAGGGAGGATTGCTTGAGCCCAGGAGTTCGAGATCAGCCTGGGCAACATAGTGAGATCTTGTTTCTACACAATAATTTTAATTAAAAAAAAATTAGCCAGGCATGGTGGCATGTGCCTGTAGTCCCAGCTACTCAGGAGGCTGAGGTGGGAGGATTGCTTGAGCCTGGGAGGTTGAGGCTGCAGTGAGCTGTGATCACGCCACAGCACTCCAGCCTGGGCAACAGAGTAAGACTGTGTCTCAAAAGAAAAGAAAAGAAAATACTTTGGGGAAATATATTCTATGCCCAAACAGCATCTTTTTATAACAGTCATTAAGGGAGTAAATGTACACAGGTAGTAGGCATGAACTATGGTCACAAATAGCTCTGCAAGATAAAAGATCACCTTCAGCAGCTAAGCTATGGACCCTTTGCCTAGTCAGCGACTGGATCCAGCCTCATGGCTGGGCTGACATTGCAGCTTCAGAGTTACTCTAAGCTACTCATAACCTTGGCCCAAATTGTGGGTTCTCTGAGCAAGGACAGGGTGGTGAGCATAGCAAGAGGGCAGGATGCATGCATTGCAGGGTTTTTTGGAACAGGGATGAAATTAACCCAGTCGGAGCTGGCCTATCCAGTGGTTGCACCTGCAGGTCTAAGACAGGAGCTACAGAGGCAGCCATTTCCTGAAACTTGACAAGTGGGGAGCAAAAGAGAATCTGTGACTCCTTGAGGATGAGAGCATCTCCTTCCTACTCCTCCCCTCTTGGAGGGTTTGTGCTGGACACTTGAGCAATTCCATCCCAGTAGGTGCAAGTAGAAGCAGTTGTAGCTGTACAATGTCTAGGTGGAAACTAGAGGATGGGGGATTACTATTTCTCCCACTCACTTTGCCTTGAGCTTGGCTGCCTCTGGGCCCTAGGGGAGCCTGTGCTCCACATATCAAATCACCCTACACTGCCACCCTCAGAGATCCATTTCAATTCACATGGCCTCCCTCCTAAAGCTTTACTAGTCCACGCAATCGCACTGGTTGCAAGGTTGCTTAGAGTGGGTCTGTCATTTTCTCTTCTCATCTCAACTTCAGTACAGGTCATATGGAGTTCTGGGAAGAATGCCAAGGCACTCTGATATGTTTGTGCTGAAATATTGTGGTAATCAAATATTATGTGAAATAAGTTGGCCATCAGCCAAAGATTGGAGCTCTTGTTAGTTAAACAGAGATTTGGCAGTGCTAATATTGGATGTGATAGTCTTTGCACTTGATGTCGATTACTATGACTTCTAGTTATTTTACATTTTTCTCCAAATAGCACCTAATGATAACCATTAGTTAGACTTTCAGCATTTGAAGAATTAACAGCCTAGATCTGGACTCTAAGGCCCTCAATGTGTAATTCTGTGAAGCACATATTTTCTTTCTTTCTTTTTTAATGTACTGCTTTGTTCGCTAACGCCTCCAGGTATATTTCTCTCCCTGTGAACAAGGACATGCATAGTAGAAGTCACATCTTAAAAATAAGTTTGAGTATAAATCTGTTGATTGAAACTGAAGCACATATTTTCAGCTGATAGGTTCCAAAGTTGATGTGGGCCAGGCACGGTGGCTCATGCCTATAATCCCAGCACTTTGGTAGGCTGAGGCAAGTGGATCCCTTGAGCTTAGGAGTTCGAGACCAGCCTGGGCAACACAGTGAGACCTCACCTCATCTCTACAAAAAAATGAGCCCGGTCACATGCCTGTAATCCTAGCTACTTTGGAGGCTGAGGTGGGAGGGATGCTTGAGCCTGGGAGGTTGAGGCTGCAGTGAGCCTCTGCACTACAGCCTGGGTGACACAAGGACACTTTATCTCAAACAACAACAACAACAAAACCAAAGGTGTGTGGGAGTGAGCCATTTAGCTAGGGAGTGAGCCTAGCTTGTGGGAACAACTGCCCATCATCTGTTGTTCTCCACTTGTCCTTGAATGTGGAGTAACTCTCTTACAAAAAGTGATCGGAAAAAGAATGCTGGGGATAGAGGGAAAAAAAAAGATAAAGAGCCCAAGAAAATGAATGACCTTAGTGAGAAAACAGAATTTCTAGGCCGGGCGCAGTGGCTCATGCCTGTAATCCCAGAAGTTTGGGAGGCCAAGGCGGGCGGATCACTTGAGGTCATGAATTTGAGACCATCTTGGCCAACAGGGTGAAACTCAGTCTCTACTAAAAGTACAGAAATTAGCTGGGTGTAGTGGCATGCACCTGTAGTCCCAGCTACTCAGGAGGCTGAGGCAAGAGAATCACTTGAACCCGGGAGGTGGAGGTTGCAGTGAGTTGATATCGCGCCACTGCACTCCAGTCCAGGTGACAGTGCAAGACTCTGTCTCAAAAAAAAAAAAAAAAAAAAAGGAAAGAAAAAAAAGAAAGAAAAAACAGAAATTCTGAATACATTAAAGAGTAAAATAACCAATTTAGTAGTAGTTCAGATCTACTACATGAACAAGTTCCCCATACACTCTATACAAAAATAAAAGGCAATTAGCAAAAGTGTTTGAGTGTTTCAGCCAGTACAAAAACCGACTTTATTCTGGTATTTATTTAATCATTAAGGTTCAGAAGGTCACTGAAAATATGCAGGTATGCTTTCCCATGCTACAGGGTGAAAATTATATGCTATGATCATGTTTGCAAATTTGGGATATTTAAGATCTAAGAAAAAAAATTTTTTTTTTTTTTTTTTGAGACAGAGTCTCGCTCTGTTGCCCAGGATGGAGTGCAGTGGCGCGATCTCGGCTCACTGCAAGCTCCGCCTCCCGGGTTCACGCCATTCTCCCACCTCAGCCTCCCAAGTAGCTGGGACTACAGGCACCCGCCACCACGTCTGGCTAATTTTTTTTTTGTATTTTTAGTAGAGACGGGGTTTCACCATGTTAGCCAGGATGGTCTCGATTTCCTGACCTTGTGATCCTCCTGCCTCAGCCTCCCAAAGTGCTGGGATTACAGGCATGAGCCACCGTGCCCAGCCAAAGACATTCTTAAAGAAGGAACTGTTATCCCTCATATTTGTTTGATTGGTGCTCAGTGGGTTTCCAAAGTGCTTTCATGTGCTCAAGAGATGTTGCTGGCAGCAGTTAAGAGAAGCAGGGGGAGGAACAAGGGGTCAACCAGGCCTGAGTCCTCATTGTGGTGCCACTTCTTCTGTGTTGCCTCAGTTAAGTCCCTTATCCTCCCCAAGACTGTGTCTCCACCTGTTTCATGAGGATACAAATGCTACTTGCTCTGCTCACTTCGAGGAGTCCTGGTAATGTCCAAAGAGCTAATGTGAGAAAGTGAAAAGTATAATGAATGGTTCCTGTGGCATTCACTCATTCATTCATTTCACAGATATTACCGCACTCTGCTTATGCTGTGATTAGCAGATAGAGGGGGCTAAGACCAGTTCCCACTGTTGAGATTAAATGTGTAGGTAGAAGCCAGGCACAGTGGCTCACACCTGTAATCCTAGCACTTTGGGAGGCCAAGATGGGTGGATTACTTGAGCTCAGGAGTTCGAGACCAGCCTGGGCAACATAGTAAGACCCCGTCTCAAAAAAAAAAAAAAAAGTCTAGGTAAAGAGATAGGTAAAGGGAATAAAAGAATGTTGCATACAGCTGTGTGGTGCCTGTATGAGCTCAAACTAAACCAAGCACAGCAAAACTACAGAGGAAACAGACCCAACCCACTGCCCACAGCTGGTGGGCAGGCGTTTTTCCTCAGCTATCCCCTCCCTCCCAATTCTGCCCTGGCTCCTGTCTTCTGTAGTCAAAATGAACTCTGCAGCCGTCCTGAGCCAGCCAGCTCCCTTACAGAATTTCCACTGGGTCTCACATAGCTCAGTTTCCCCCCAAGATATGGCCCTATACTCTGGTCTGGCCAGGGGAAAAAAGTAATTACAGCCATCTGCTTACAAAAAAAAGGCAGAGAGATAAAAGAAGAGGGGAGAGACACTCTCACAACTAAATCAGAATGACACACTATTTAACCTAATTACCTGCAAAGCCGTATCCAGCCATTAAGGATCCATATTCTGTAATAGAATTTCCTGCTATGGAAATACTCACCCACGCACAGGATGTTGAAGCAGAAGCCCTGGCTGACGGACTTATTCACCAGCTGGTCAGGCAAGCTGTCAAACCCCACATGTCCAGCCAGGGGGACAGTTCGGCAACCTTCACCCTAATTTGGAAGGAATGGGGGAGAAAATGAAAATGTGCTTAAAAGCAGTCTGAGTCTCACTTCTCCATCCAAATGTTCGCCGTGCAAGGAAGTCACACCCGCCCAGGTCCAGTGTGTCATGTCTTCCCTCAGCTACTCCCTGCTCCAAAGCAAAATGGCCCGTCAGCTTGGAAATCACAGATTCTTGGAGACAGGCATCCTCTAGGCTCAATAGTGAATGTCGCCACAGCTCCAGAGAAAATTACAGAGGAGCTTATTAGGGGCAGGAGAGTGGAGTCAGGGGAGGAGAATGCTGGCACCGGAGGTTCACAGACTCAGGTTAAATCTCCACTCAGTCATTTACAAGCTGAGTAACTTGCTGAGACTGTTTCCTTCCACATCTGCCATCTGAGATAATATGGCATATCTTAGAGGTGACTGGGAGCCTCAGAAGCGCTAATACATGTAACGAGCTTAGTACATGCAGAAGTGTTCAGTAAGTATTACGAAAAGGGTTTAAAAAGCAATTACTGGGCCGGGTGCGGTGGCTCACACCTGTAATCCCAGCACTTTGGGAGCCCGAGGCAGGTGGATCACTTGAGGTCAGGAGTCCGACACCAGCCTGGCCAACATGGCGAAACCCTGTCTCTACCAAAAAAACAAAAAGTAGCCGGGCATGGTGGCGGGTGCCTGTAATCCCAGCTACTTGGGAGGCTGAGGCAGAAGAATTGCTTGAACCCTGGAGGTGGAGGTTGCAGTGAGCTGAGATCATGCCACTGCACTCCAGCCTGGGCAACAAAAGCAAAACTCTGTCTCAAAAAAAAAAAAAAAAAAAATCAATTATTGACTGGCAAAATGTCTTACACCTGTAATCCCAACACTTTGGGAGGCCAAGGTGGGTAGATCACTTGAAGCGAAGAATTTGAGACCAGCCTGGGCAACACAGTGAGACAACGTCTCTACAAAAAATCAAAAATTAGCTGAGCATGGTGGCATGTGCCTGTGTAGTCCCAGCTACTTGGGAGGCTGAGGTGGGAGGACTGCTTGTGTCCAGGAGGTAGAGGCTGCAGTGTGCTATGATGGCACCACTGCACTCCTGCCCAGGCGACAGAGCAAGATCTTGTCTTAAAAAAAAAAAAAAAAAAAAGGCAATTGTTCCTCTCTCTAGGACACTTTGAGGATCTACAAAGGCAGCGTAGTGTAGAGGTTAAGAGCAGAGGCTTTGAAATCTGGCAGGTGTGAGTTACAGCCCCATCTCCGCCACCTCCTGGCTGTGTCACCCTCAGACAAGTTACGTAAACTTCTCAAGTTTTCCCCATCCATAAAATTGGAAACTATTGAGTAGGAGTGTGAGGATTATACAGGATCACGCTCCTCAAGCCCTTAGCGCAGTGCCTAGCATGTGGTGAGCATTCAATCAGCAGTAGTTGCTGCTGTTATTCACTGTGGGGTTATCGTTACACCCCCAGCCTAAAGGGTACTGCATGGAACACTGTGGCTCCTTATGGCTACAAGAAGCTGCCTCCGTGCTTCCTCTGGGTCCCTTGACTCCCTAAGGGTCAGCCAAGCCACTCCCAGCCCTGGAAAGCAGAGGGCCTTTGCTTTGCCTGCAAGACCCAAAGCTGCTTATAGTTAATGATTTTAAAAAACAGGAGGAACCTCAAACTGGGACAGGATTCCAAGGAGCCAGGGGGAAGCATAAAAGGGGCCTGCATGGACTCAAGAAATGTGCCAACTACCAACCAACGGCCACAGGGGAGGGGAGGGGACAGGAGAGAAGGGAAGCTGGAGACAGCTAAGTTGACAAGAAATGAGTACTATGTAAGGAGTTAGTTTCTGTTGGGTGGGGCTGCACCAAGCTTTCCATAACTAGAAAGATGCCAAGAGCAATCCAAGAAGGACATGGTTAGTGCCAGGAGGCCCAGCCCAGAATCCCAGGCTGCACTAAGCAGACAGCTCTTCTGTTGGGCTGGACCAGTTTTTAGACTAGGTCCATAATAAGAGCACATTTTCACACTGAAAGGGGTGGGCTGTGAGGGTGGAGGAGCCTCTCAGCAGCCCACTTTGTCAGAACTGGCTCCCAGATAGCCTCTTCACACAGCTTTAGCTCTCACTCCCATCAGTGTCATTGGATCCTCTGAGGGCAAGCAACAGGGCTGGTGCCAGTGAATGCCATGTGGCAAGTTCATTACCCTCACACATCTCACCCCACACACTCCCAGTGGAGAACTCTTAACAGACAGCCCATACGCCATCATTCAGTGAGAGTGGGCATATTTTCTGCCCCAGGGGGCCCCCTGAAGACAGCTGAGGCTGGGTGCAGTGGTTCACACCTGCAATCGCAGCACTTTGGGAGGCCGAAGTGGGCGGCTCTCTTGAGCCCAGGAGTTTGAGACCAGACTGAGCAACATGGCAAAACCTCACCTCAACAACAAGAAAAATACAAAAATGAGCCCGGCATGGTGGCGTCAGCCTGTGGTCTCAGCTACTCAGCAGGCTGAGGTGGGAGGATCACCTGAGCCCAGGAGGTCGAGGCTGCAGTCAGCCATGATCTCGCCATTGCACTCCAGCCTGGGTAACAGAGCAAGACCCTATCTTGGCCGGCGCGGTGGCTCACGCCTGTAATCCCACCACTTTGGGAGGCCGAGGCGGGCGGATCACGGGTCAGGAGATGGAGACCATCCTGGTTAACACGGTGAAACTCCGGCTCTACTAAAAATTCCAAAAATTAGCCAGGAGTGGTGGCAGGCGCCTGTAGTCCCAGCTACTTGGGAGGCTGAGGCAGGAGAATGGCGGGAACCCGGGAGGCGGGGCTTGCAGTGAGCTGAGATCGCGCCACTGCACTCCAGCCTGGGCGACAGAGCGAGACTCCGTCTCAAAAAAAATAAATAAATAAATAAAAATTTTAAAAAAGCTGAGCCTCATGAGTGGTTCACATCACTCAAGGCTTTGTTCTACATTCACCCCTTTCTGCTTCTTCTTCCCATTTCCCCTTCTCTTTATTAAAGCAAACAAAGTAAGATGCAAGATTCCCACTGCTAGTTCTTGGTCCCCAATGCTGCAGGGGAGTCAGGGACATGAGAACTAACACGCTTTCTTAACGGAGCCTCCAATGTAGCAGGCATCGGAAATTGAGGTGGACTCAGAGTTGAGGTTTCCTGAGCCAATTGTTATCATCCCTGGCTGCCTCTTCCGGCCTCCAACAAATTCAGCACCATGAAGCTTCAAGTGCTCCAAAGCCAAAAGCAGAGGAAATGAATTTTCAAACTGAAGACAGTGGAAGGTAGTGGAAAGAGCTTCACACCTTATTCCTAAAGATTTACTCCATTGCCAACAACTTACCAAACACCTCCCATGTCCCGCCATTATCTCCCACCTAGCACAGTGCTGTAAAGAGCCCTAAAAGGCAGAAGAAAGAATCTTTTTTTTTTTTTTTTTTTGAGGAGTCTCTCCCTGTCGCCCAGGCTGGAGTGCAGTGGCGCGATCTCGGCTCACTGCAAGCCCTGCCTCCCGGGTTCAAGCGATTCTCCTGCCTCAGCCTCCCGAGTAGCTGGGTGCCCACCACCACATCTGGCTAATTTTTTGTATATTTTAGTAGAGACAGGGTTTCGCCATGTTGGCCAGGCTGGTCTTGAACTACTGACCTCAGGTGATCAACCCACCTTGGCCTACCAAAGCGCTGGGATTACAGGCGTGAGCCACCATGCCTGACCCAAAAGAAAGAATTTTCTAAGCCCTAAGAAGCAGTAGTATGGACTTCATTTCCTAAGCAATGCGATTTGGAGGATTTTGAGTGATTTGAGCAGGGAGGGCCATGATACAGGGAGTGTTTTTAAAAGATCACTCCAGCTGCAGGGTGTTTGCTTGATTGGACGGACAGAGAGACTAGGAGCAGGAAGACATAGGAGGAGATGACTCCAATAATGTTGAGCCAGCAGAGTGACATCCAGGCATTGTGACAATAAATGCTTGTTGGTGTGAACGGACCTGACTTGGGGCTCAAAGAGAAGGAACAAATTTGAGAGATGTCTTAAAGAAGGGATGAGCCTCTGCCGGGCACGGTGGCTCACACCTGTAATCCCAGCACTTTGGGAGGCTGAGGAGGGCAGATCACGAGGTCAGGAGTTCAAAACCAGCCTGGCCAACATGGTGAAACCCCATCTCTACTAAAAATGCAAAAATTAGCCGGGCGTGGTGGCCGGAGCCTGTAATCCCAGCCACTCAGGAAGCTGAGGCAGGAAAATCCTCAAACCCAGGAGGCGGAGTTTGCAGTGAGCCGAGATTGTACCACTGCACTCCAGCCAGCCTGGGGGACAGAGAGAGACTCTGTCTCAAAAATAAATTAATTAATTAACTAAAAAAGAAGGAATGAACCTCAAGGAGTGATTGGGCAAAGGGAGCAATCGCAGGGGTCTAAGCCCGGGAGCTCAGACTGACAGCACTATGGAGAGACACAGGAAAGCCAGGAAAAGACGCTTGTTTAGTGGGGATGACAAGGAGTCTGGTTTTTTTTTTTTTTTTTGAGGCGGAGTCTGGCTCTGTCGCCCAGGCTGGAGTGCAGTGGCCGGATCTCAGCTCACTGCAAGCTCCGCCTCCCGGGTTCACGCCATTCTCCGGCCTCAGCCTCCCGAGTAGCTGGGACTACAGGCGCCCGCCACCTCGCCCGGCTAGTTTTTTGTATTTCTTAGTAGAGACGGGGTTTCACCGTGTTATCCAGGATGGTCTCGATCTCCTGACCTCGTGATCCACCCGTCTCGGCCTCCCAAAGTGCTGGGATTACAGGCTTGAGTCACCGCGCCCGGCCTAGGAGTCTGGTTTTAAATTAGCTGTTACTAAAAAAAATTACAGTTATCAGATTTTTTATTTTGTGGAAGTAATCAATGTTCTCTGTAGAAATTTTAGAATATACAGATAATAATAAAGGAGAAAATAAAAATCAACCATAGTATCACTCTCCAGAGATAAACACTGTTAATTTTATTTATTTATTTTTTTCAAGACAGAGTTTCACTGTTGTTGTC